ATCCTTCTTATTTTAAAGAATATTAAGGTTAATTAAAGATTATTAAGACATTTTTAAATATATTAAGTAAATATAAGTAGGTTTATAATTAAAAGCTTCTTAATTAAAGCTATAGTTATTAAGATATTTATATATAAAATAAGAAAAGAAAAAAGTAGCTTAAGGAAAATTACTTATATATATATAAATTCTCTAGAATCTAGAAGATTCTTTAATAAGCGTCTAATTAGTAATAACCCCTTAACTTTAAAGTATCTATTTATAAAAGGGCTTATTTTTAGCTATTTTATTTATAATAATAAGATTTATAAGATAGCAAGAAATTAGGAGAAAATCAAGTAAATTCTAGTACTTTTAGTTTATTCTACTTTACTTATTAAGTAATATAATACCTGATTTAGTAAAATATATATAAAGTAATACCGGATATAAGCTAGCCTAAATCTTATTTTAGCTCTTATTATACTTTCTAATCTTTAAGTATATATATATAGTTATATAACTAAATAATTAACTATAATTATAATTTAATTAAGTAGATTTTAATTTAATTTAATTTAATTTAGAGGTAATAATTAAATCAAGTTAAATTATTTAATATACTAGGCTTAAGGAAAAATAAAGTAAAAAAATAAGATTTAGAATAAGATATATTAAGTAATAAATAAAGTAATTACTAAAATAAGAAAAAATAAATAAAAAAAAGCTAGAAAAGTAAAGATATATTATATTAATATAAAAAAAACAAATACTAGAAGAATTTAAACTATCTATTATAGTTTTAACTATTTGTCTTATAATTATAAGTAAATAGATATATATAAATAAAAGTATTTTATAGTTTATTATTTAATATAAAAGAATAATAAAGAATTATTTAATTAATTCTATATTTTATATTTTCTAGAATTAAAAGCTAATAATATTCTAAGTTATTTAAATAATTTTATAGCTAAATACTAATATTAAAATAGATTCTAATATATAACTTTGCCTATTATTATAATTATATTTTATATTAATATATTATTAAAGGAAACTAGTAACTTTATTCTTTATTCTTAAAAGTAATCTTTTAATATAATTCTTTAAATTACTATTAATATAGAAATAGTATTTGCCTTTACTTTACTAATATATCTTTTATTTATATAAACTTCTCTATATTATAATCTTATCTTTACTTTTAAATTATATTATTTATAATTAAATTTACTAATACTTTTTAAGAAAATAGATTAGTAAAAATATATAAAGTTCTTAATAAATTAGAAGCAAATTCTTTAGAATTTAATTATATAAGAATATAATTTTATTATTTTTTATTATTATATATATTATATTTATTAGATATAATAACTTAATCTATAAGTTCTATTTCTTCTAATAATAAATAGTAATATAAGAAGTAGTAAAAGTAAAAGTTCTAGTAATAATAATAGCTTATAGAAAAATATATAGTTTTAGTTTCTTTAAATTAATTCTTAGTTTAGAGAAATAAAGAAAAAAAGTAAATTTGAAATATAGATTCGTAAATAAATTAAATAAGTAAAATACCTATTAAAGATACTCTTAAGTAAAATACTAGTAAAATAATTATTTAATAATATAGAAATATTAGATAATAGAAATATAAAAAACTACTTAAATTTAAATCGGAATTAGAAATAAATTCAAAAATAGAATTTCTATCTTCTCTTTTTTCTTTTTTCCTAAAATAATAATAGCTAAAATTAAAATAGCTAAAAAGTAATAATAAAAAGTAATAAATTATAGAATAATAAATTATATAGAAATATAAATATAAGGCTTTATATCTATATTATTAGTTTATTTATTAGATATTAAAAGAATATAAATAAATTTAAAATAAAGTAAATAATAAAAGAAATACTAGTATAAATATTACTAATACTAATATAAGGGCCTATAAGAATATTAAAAATATCTAAATAAAATAAGAAATTTAGAATAGAAAATAAGATATATTACCTGAAATATTATAGAAATATAAAAAACCTTTTAAAAAAAAGCTACTAATAATTCTATATCTATTCTAATAAATTTACTTATAAATAATAGCTATAATATAAAAGAAATATTAGCCAGAAATATTTTTAAGTTTCTTTTTTCTATTAAATTAAATTATTACTAGCTATCTAATATTATAAATATATTTTAATAAAAGCTAATTATAAATATTAATTTATCCGAATTAGAGAATAGTAATATTAAATACTTTTTATATTAAATTTATCTAGCTATAAAATAGATAAATAAATTCTTTATTCTATAACTAGATAAATATTATAATTATTAAGAGAATACTATTTTATAAAAACAAATAGCTTTAACTAATAATAAATATATTTCTTAGCCTAGTTTATTTATTAAAGGTATTAAAAGCTACTAGAAAGAAAAGGCCTAGGCTATAATAATAATAGAATATCTCTTAAGAAATATCCTCTAATATCTTACTATTATTTTCTAATATAAATATAGTAAAACTATAGCTTTTACTAGAATATATAGCTCTATATAGAAATAAATAGATATTACTATATATTTCTAGTATAATTAAGAATCTAACTAGAATAGCTTTTATAAATTCCTTTAAATATATAATCTAATTAAAAATAATATAAAATATTATAAGTAATCTAATAACTAGAAGCTTTATAAAATCTTAGAATATATTAAAGAAAAAACCTAAGAAAACTATATAGAAAAAAGTAAAAAAAAAAGAAATAATTAAATATCTAATAAAGTTTTTATTAGATATATATTTTGTTTTTTTTATATATATTTATATAATAAGAATATCTATATATTAATCCGAGCTAGAGAAATCCGGACTTTTATAAAAGTTAGAAAGCTATTATTTCTCTAATAAATTAAATTAATTAAGCTATATTATCTTATAAGTTATTATATTAGATATTTTCTTATTATAAAATATTAAACAAAAAATATTTAAAAAGCCAAAGAAAAGGAAATAGCTATAGTAATTAATTAAAACTCGGTAGTCTAAATAGAAAATAATTAAAGCCTATAAAGCTAAAAGTATATATTTATTCTAATTATAATTTGTAATATCTTATATTATATTCCTACTAGTATAATTATTTAGTATTTATTCTTTCTAAAAAAGTATCTAAAAAGAAATAAAATCTATTTCTAAAAATTATAAATATATATTTTTAGAAAAATATTACTATATTTATAAGTTATTTTAGTTAGAATTTATATATTAGAGCTTTAATAAAAGACCTAATATAGCTTGCTTTCTTTTTTTAATAGTATTATATTTTGGCCAAAAATTAATCTTATTATATTTAATTATTTATAAATATCTATAAATATTACTCGAATATTATTTATATTATTTTAATTCATCTAATAAAAGCTTATATTAAAATTAAGCAAATTATACTAATCTTATCTATAATATACTAGAAAGCTTTTAAAAGCCCCAAATATAGCTCTTATAATAATTAGTTAGGCTTATTTCCTAAAATATCTTTAACTTTACTTCTTTTATATAACTTTTTTCCTATAATATAAATACCTATAAAATCCTCTTATTTCCTTTTCCGAGAATATATATAAAACATAAAATAATCTAACTTCTATTTATAAATATAGCCTAGTAGAAATACCGAATTATATAACCGAATCTAATTATAGCTAAATAGCTTATATTTCAGATATTAGTACTTAATAACTATAAGATATATATATCTAATAATACTATATTTCCTTATATAATTAAAAAGCAATATTAATAAAGGATTTATATTATAGAGAAAGCAAAGTAATAAGGTAATTAGGTATAATAGCTAGTATTATATAGTTAATACGGATGTGGTTTTAGCTAAAGAAGTTAGTTTTAGCTAAGGTTCCAAGCTATAGTTCAAACCAAGCTTGCTTCCAAAGCTCGGCGTTTTAGTAGTCTTGGCCATACCTACTTATCCACTGCCACACCTCACTCCTGTCCTCCTTAGCTTTAAATTCTTAAGATATTGGAAATTATTAATCTTTGAGCCTTGTTCTATTGCTCTGTTCCTGCCGTCACATTAGGTATTTAAATAGGAAAGGGCCTCGAGTAAGGCAGTTAGTTAGCTTTCGTTTTTATTTCTTAATTATTATTTACTATTTTTCTGCTCTAATTTATATATTATTAATTTATTAATTATTAATTATTAAATAAAAGAAATAGTAGATTAAGTAAATATTACTAAGAATATCGAGAGAGTATTATTAGTAGAATTCGAGCTTATATAGTAATTATATTATATAAGTATATTAGATAAAGAAATTTATAAGAAAGAAATTAATTTATTCAGAAATTAACTATAGAGTTTGGATATATTATTTCTTCTTCCTCTAATAGTTCCACTAGCCGCCTATTGCTTGCACTAATATTAATATATAAATTGCCGAATAACCTTCGAGATTGAAAGCTTGCAAATGAATGCGAATATATTTGCAGCCGCTTAGTACCGTATCGAGAAAGCGCGTGTTCCTCTTCAAGCAAAACCCTTTCGCCGGCTATAAGAGATCCGCCCAAAAACTACAGGTTAAGAGTTAGATTTTTGGCAAATGTAATATTAGGTTGTCTCTTCTTTATGCTTATTCCGAGTTTGGAAGGTCAAATGTTTAGAAACCCAGAAGTTATATGAGGCACAGTGGAGTTCAAATATCAAAGTTCGGATTGTATAGCTATACTCAGTGCGAGAACTAATAATAAATAAATGAGATGCCGGTCTAAAGGGATCCTTTTCATTTAGGATTTTATAATATCCATTTATTGCAAGCTGCTTCGGAGGCAATTTTCTATACGGCCAGCGTATCCAGTAGCTTTTCCTGAGAAGCCTCGGATAGTTTTATACGAGAACTGCGGGTACGCGTTTTTGCAAACTCGGGCGTGTATAGCGGATAGACTGCCGGTCTCTGAAGAAGAATTATTACAAGCGATCGAAGAGAGAGATGTCCGCCACCGACAATACTGCATACAAGCCTGCTTGTTAGGGCTTGTACGAAAACGTCCGATACTTGCCCAAATATTGGCGCATACCGTACTTATAGGGCTGGCAACAAACATGCCTTGGGAAGGAAGTCACTTGCAAAACTTATATTACGTCAACTCGCCGAAGACCCCGACAATGGATGCGAGCGACTTAGAAAGCAAGGTGCTCGTGGCGCTCTGTTCAGATTGACTCTGGAGGTATAGATATACTTTCGTTGCCAAAGGGACTGTAACGGCATTCGAAGCCAAGTTGAAACACGAAGGGTTGGTTTACCGGCACTTGGACGAAGTTCAAGGGGGCATCATACCTGTCTATCTTGGGAACATCTCTCTTATCCGTCCTTTCTTTCTTGACTTTGGGGTCGGAATAGTTCACATGTTGCTTATATCATGGGCAGGCAAGCAGGCGCGCAAGGATTTGGTATTGGGTATGGGACGGGATTTGGCTGCGGAGACAAGCGGGGCAGTTACAAAGATATTGGATCGTGGGGTAGAGCATCGTAACGTACGGCCACCGAATATGCTATAGAATCCCGAGATCAGAAATATGGTGCTAGTGGATTTTGAGCGTTCAGAAATTTTGAAGCAGGTTTCAGTTCTTCAAGAGACATCGCCTAACCGGAAGCGGAAGTACCTCCATTTCAACCCAGAGGCATCCTGTCGAAGTCTTTCCGACGGACTTTTCATCGGTCCCAGCAAGTGTTTCGATTGGAGCGATCGGTAGTCTACAGCAATTCAACTTATAAATGGCCCCACGGTAACGATTACCTTCGCTCACTTATCTACGGCTATGTCGTCCTGTAGTAATGTGATATGTCCTCCCTTATTGCCTCCCTATCATTGATCAGCACCGCTTCTTCGGCCGTATCCATTTACAGGCTGGAGGCCTGGAAATGTATATATAGTGACTGTCGCGCACTAACCTCCCGCACGAGCAGGCTTTCTTAGAGGGTCCAATCGACTCCTTGGACGAGCCATTCTCTCACATTAAACCCCTGCTCCTGCTGCGGCCTTTTCCAGATGCGGCGAATGTAATGTGAGTCATCAACGCTGCCTTCCGGATGTAGCGCCAAAGGGCCGAGCCGAGTAGTCAAAATTTTCATTGACAGTGCTGTACAGTGGCCTGCACTCGAATCTTGGCCCCAAAGTGCTGCGCCATTCGTCTGCTTTTTTCCACGTTCAGTTCCTCTGTCCATGCATTCCCCGAATGCATATCTTACTGGTTCACATCATGGCTCGTTGGCCTCGACCCCGTTTCCTATCTGCAGCGAGCTCTAACTGGCACCTCCACTCGTGCCATTTCCATATATCTTTACCAACCTGGGTAGATAAAGGAGCTGCTGCCTTAAGTAGTCGTAATGGCTAAGTGGACCCCAGTGCACTTGAGCTCTAGTACCTGCCTTCAGGCTGCAAAAGTGCTTCCGTAGCAAGTCGCACGCGCCAACCACCTTGCTATAGTAAACTCACAACCAAAGACTCAAACCTCATTACCATTATCGCAATCTTTACACGCACGACCACCCTTGCTATAGTAAACTTACAACCATCACTCTACTTTCCTACCATGGATTCTCGAAGGGAAGTCACCGACGCGATTGTGAATACTGGGCCTGCCGGGGTCGGACAGCTGGTTGACACCGCCAATTCCTCCAAATAAAAGCATGAATAGAACCAGAGGGAAAAGGAGGCCCGCAAGAGGGAGGCCCGAGAGAAGGCGGAGAATGATGCCCGAGAGGCGGTAGCAGGTGTTCGCCTACCTACAAAACACTCCGAACTTGTCATAATCTGAGATGCTAATGGCAGTCTATAACAGAAGGGCAGCAGAAGCTCCTAAACATTGACAACCCGAGAGCCTCTCTATAATCTTTCGGGGCCGACTTGCCAAAGGGATACCATCCAACAACCCTATATATGGTCTGCAGCCCGAGAGCTATCTGCTATTGCTTTTATTTCTTTGCAATTTTGTTTCATTATAGTCCTGTTTATAGATAGGAGCAGCCTGCTCAGGAAGGTGCTTGGTAATTCTGGTTGCTTTAACCGAGTTTGAATTTTAGAGGTACTTTTAGGAGGCTATTAATCTTTCTTATAGAAATACTATATACCCTCTCTATCTCAATTAGCTATACTTTAAATAGTTATATCCAGTATTTTTATTAATACTATATACTCAGAAAATACTTCGTTTTAGATATATTACCCTTTTCTCTAAGGCAGGCAAAGCCTATATATATATTAGGCTTTGCCCTTACCTATAACCGAGATCCAAGGTTAATATATAACTAGAGTTAATATATAGTTATTTTATACTAAAAACTCAAAATAACTAGATCTAATATTTACTTTTTATTAAAGACCTCTTTTTATTTCTTTAGCTTTTATTTAAGTATTATATCTTAATTAGGCTATAGAAGCTTCTTGTTTATAGTTTTATATAATTTCCTCTAATTAGTTTAAAAGAAAAAAAATTCCTTAAAAATAAAAGATTTCTAGAAATAACTTATAATAGAATCTTATTAATTAATATCTTTTTAATATTTCTTATTAGATTACTTTTTTAGCTATTACTAAAAAATACTAATAATATAACTAAATTATATAGATTTAGGCTTATTTTCTTTTTAGTTATATAAGCTTATATTTTCTATAATTAACTAGAATATTAATATATATTATTTATTTTCTATTAAAAATAATATTATAATTTCTAAGATTTAAAATAATTATAGATATATTAATACTTTATTTATTAATTAGAAATAAAATTTCTATATATTTTTAATAAACTTAGCTAGCTTTTTATTAAAACCATATATAATATAAAATAAAAAAAGAAATTATAATTCTATTTCTAAGAATTATTCTATAAGCTAAATAGGCTTTATATTAATAAAAGTATAACTATTAGCTCTAGTATTAATAAAAGAAAAAAACTTGATTTCTAATTTATTTATACTAATAATATAAAGTATTATAAGAATATTTTCTCTTATTAGATAAATTAAGTTAATTTCTACTAAATTTATATTATAAGTTTCTAAAATAAAAACTTTTTTTAAAAGTACTTATTTTCTGGTTTTATACTAGAATTAGAACTCGAATTCTTTAAATACTTTACTAGAATAATATATTTCAATAAAATAAAAACTAAATCCGGTTTAATTCTAGAAAGAGCTATTTTAGTTTCCTTATTATATAAAGCCAAATAATATTAAATATAATAGCTAAATTTATTATAATTAAAGTATTTAATAATTAAGAAATCCTTAGTTTTTATAAGATATTACTTATATTTATAAAGAAATATATATTTAATAAAAGTAATTAATATAGGCTTCTTAGACTTTTTTTAGAAATATATTTTTTAGAAATATATAAAAATATAATATTAGAAATAAACTTAACTAAAATAGCTTTTATCTTTTTATATTTCTTAATCTTTTTATATATAGCTTTAATTTACTAATTATTAGTAATATAGTACTAAGTAAAATAAATAATATTAATAAAAGAATTATTATAATATATATATATTAATTTCTAAAGCTTTAGTAAAAGCTTCTTATTTAGTTTATATTTAATATCTTAAAGACTAATACTATTCTCTATAAATAGTTATAAGTAAAAAATATAGAACTTCTAAAATATTTAACTAGAATATATTTAAAGCTTACTAAAGTTATAGTAAGTATTTTATATTTTATTAGAATTAGAATATAGCTTCTTTAAATAAAAATAGAACTTTAAAAGCTAATAATACTAATTTAAACTATTTTTATTTATATAAGAATTAGTTAAAATAAAAGTATTACTAGTAAGTTTACTAGAAATATAAATAATCTTAAAATTCTCTAAGAAATATAAATTAGTATTTCCTTATAATTTGTTTTTAATCTAAACTAGCTAGTTATTAAAAATAATATAATCTCTAGTAAAGAAAGTTAGATCTAGAAGCTTAATAATTCTAGTATTTTTAAAGGAAATATAAGATATAGGGAATTTTAGATAGAAATAAATAAGAAATAGTTTGGAATTCTTTTAAAAAAGATTTAAAATAGCTAAAATAAATAAAATAGAAATAATTAGAACTATTATAAGCTAATCTACTATAACTATATAATATTTAACTTTATTCTCAAGCTTAGTATTATAAAGCTTAATATTCTCGAAAATAGCTTTATTATAATTATAGGTATTCTTATATAAAATAATTCTTTAAATATTTTTCTAATAGCTTTTTATAATAATATTAATATTTAAAAATAAGATATTAGATTTTTTAGCCTATTTATATAACTCTCTAATAATAATATAATTATTAGTTTCTAAAAGCTTTATAATAAAAGCAGAAAATTTTATTTCTATAAACTTAAATAAAAATTCTTTAGAAATATTAATAAAATATTCGGTTTAGAAAGAACTATTAATAAAATAACCTAAACTAATAAAAGCTTTACTAGAAGCCTTAATAAAAGTTAATATAATTTTTAGTTATATAATATTCTAGGAAATTAACTTATAATATTTTTCCTCTATTATATTTTCTTTAATAGTCTTATTACTAGTATATATATAAAGCCTATAAAATTATAAGATAGAACTTAAGAATAGTAATTAGATTACTAGCTTATATATATTTATTACTTTAGGATTTAGTTAAAGAATAGCCTTTATTTAAGATTCTTTAATTTTCGGGGTTTTAAAAAGATTTCTAATATATTACTAGTATAATTTTATAAAAATATAAATATCTAATTTCTCTAAGAATTCTAAAGCTTTTTGCTTTTATTATCTTAATAATACCTATATTACTAATAGTTCTAAATTAGTTTATTTAAAATCCTTTATAGAATTAAAGAAAATAAGCTTTAAATACTATTATAAATATAATATTTAGGGCTTAAAAAATAAGGTAAAAAATCTTTTATAAAAATAATTTAAAGCTAAGAAAAAGAAAGCTAGAATATAGAAGGCTATAAAAAAATATATATATTTTATAATATATTAGTTTATAAGAAATTTAGTTTTCTAAATATCTCTAATATATTTTAAGTATATTTCTTTAATAAAGCAACTATATTATATATATTTAGAAAGTAATAGAATATAAGTAATAAGATATAAATAACTATATTAGCTAATTATATTAGCTAATAAGATTAAAAGCTAAATTATAATAAATATATAATAATATTTAAAAGTAAAAAATAATTATTTATATTATTAAATTAAATTATAATATAATATTAATTATATAAGTATTTAGTATAAGAAATATAACTATATTAAATAGGTTTTATATAAGAAGCTTTTATTATATAATTTTTTAATTACTTTTTAATTTAAGCTTCTTTTAAGAATTTTTAATATTTTATTTAAAAATTAAATTAAAACTAAAATTTTATAAATAATATATAATAATATAAACTTTTTATATTATATACCTATATAAAATATAAAATAAAGCATTTCTATTAATATAATTATTAAATATTAAATTAAAATTATTAAGTTTTTTAATATTTTAATAAAAGCTAAATTTAAAGTTATTAAAAATTAAAGAATAATTAAGAAAAAGTTATATATTAAACTTTTAGCTTCTTTTTTTTTATAGAACTTAAAGGAGTTTATTATTTTACTTAATAATTATTTAATAATTAAATATTTAATATCGAGTATTTAGCTAAACTTAAATATATATTAATCTTAAATATATATTAATCTTAGATATATATTAATCTTAAATTTCAATTAATAAACTCGAGTAATTTCTTATTTTTTCTCTTAACTAAATTATTTTCCGCAAATATATTTCTATAAAATATATACTTATATATTTAATAACTAAAGCCTTTTTCTTTATTATAAATATTAACTAGTATATTAAACTTATTTATAAAATAGAATTAAGACTTTAGGTTAATAAAATAAACTAGAGATATATAAAGCTTTTTTCTAAATAAATATTAATTTTCTATTTTAATTAATTTTACTATTAAATTAAAAATAACTTTCTTTATAATATATATAATATTAGTTAGAAAATAATCTTTAGTAATAATATTATCTAGCTAGTCTATTTCTCTTATATTAGAAATATTTATAGTAATTATATTAATAAGAAAGTTATTATAGAAATTAAAATAATAAGTTTTATTTATAAGAAAACTACTATTTCTATTTTATAAATTAAGGCCTAAGGTTTTATTACTAGTAATTTACTTAGTCTGAGTTTATTTACTATAATAGACTTTATTAATAATATAAGCCTTAATAGCTTTTTTAAGAATTCTAATATTAAATCTATTATAAAACTTATTAAGGAAAATATTAGTAATAGTAATATTAAGTTTATTTATAAATAGTTTATAAATTTTCTATTTTAGCTTTTTAAACTCGACTTTAATTAAATTAGTAATTTACTATTACTAAAAACTAAATTCCCTATACTAATATATTTATTAATATATAAGATATATAATATTATATAGACTAGAGAAGTTAATACTTTTAATATAGACTAATACTTTCTTATTTTCTTTTTAGTTCTTATTTCTTTTGTTAAGACTTTAAATTAAATATATTTACTAATTAAATAATCTCTAAATAACTAAAATAAAAGGGTTTTAATAATAATTTAGTACTTCTAATATATTATTAGATAGAACTAGAAATAATTTATTTACTAGCCAAACTTAATAACTAATAAATAGAATAATAAAACTAAATATATATTACTAAATATTCTAAAATCTTTAATATCTAATTATATTAATAAAAAATATAATTATAGCTTATTTAAACTTATTTATAATAATCTTAGCCTAATAAATATTATTATTAAAAATAAAAAAAACCTTATAATTATTAGAATAATAGACCTCAAGTAATTATATATTAGGCTAGCCTAGCTATTAGGCTTAATACCTTAGTAGCTTCTTTAAGATTAACTAAATAATTAAGATATTTTATTAGATAAGAAATTATTCAAGATTACTATCTAGTTCTTTAAATACTTAGAGATTTTTAAATATATTTTAGAGAAAGAAGAGAAAAAAATACTAGAGAATTAAAAAAAAGAGCTTTTAAATCTTATAAAGTAGTCCGAGATCTTAGAAGTTATATAGCTCTATATAGTTTTCTTATATGGCTTTAATAATACTTATAATCTCTCTTTTATATAACTATAATATTATATAGATATTAAGAAATAAGAGTAATATAAGAAGGAATTCTATAAGATAGAAGAAATAGAAATATTTATAATATAGAAGTTGCTCTAATTAACCTAATACAAAAAAGACTTCAAGAAAACAAAGGCCTATAAAGTTAATATAAATAATAAGATAATAATAGGAGAGTAATTTATTATTATATACTAACTAGTATTATATTCCTAATTCCCTTAGTAAAAATCCTTCTCACCATTCAATTATAGTAGTAATTCCAAATCCAAAGCCCAGAATTAAGTCACCTATATATAATAAGCAAAGCAGACTCCTATAGCTAGATGTAATTACCACACATATTCTGCAGGGGGAAATGGCTGCGTCGGAGGTGTTTAGGGAAATTGAAGTCCCATTCTCCGTGAGAGACACAAAGGCCGAAGAGGAGGAGGTGTCTCGCGCCATCCTCGATTTCGCTCTTGTGCCAGCAGCATTTGCAAGCAGGAGTGTTCTCTTAGCTGCCAAAGCATTGGACAGCGAGGCTGATGAGAAGATCTCGGTAGCGAATGGCTTCGGGATCCTTGCTAGTCATGTTTAAAGGAGCCTTCTTGAGGAAGTTGACCTCTGGAATCTCGCGTGAAGTCTGTTCTGACACGGCGTCGTGCCTTAGTTCAAACGGCCATCCTCAGAGCCATCGCGACTTGAATGAGTGATACTCACGATTATATGAAATTTGTTCTATTACCACTTACGCACCTCTACCCCTCACACCAGGCTTACGACCCCGCTTTCGAGGCGTTCCCCCTTGCTTCGTGAAGAAGTTCTCCTTCAATGACTGCAGTGCAAAGCCTAGGAATTGCCGTCCTATCTCTGCCCAGGTCTTGTCTTCGTGGACCATCCTTGTCAACAGACTCTCTTGATCCTTGGTCAGTTCCTTGGCAGGCTTGCGAGACGTGACGGCCCGGTGAGAGACTACAGCTTCTGCCGACGACTCCGCAGAGCTAGCGCTTAAAACCGCCGTTAACAAGTGGAAGGTACGAACGGGTAGAAGCGGCCTGGTACACTGGATGACAATCCAGCCACGGTGTCCGCGCCAAAAATGGCCGAGGTGGTCTGTGCTCACACTTTCTTTTGGTGAAGTTGGACGAAACCGATTTTGCAAGCGACTGTAACATGAAAGTTCTGTATAGTATATGCAGTACTGGTAAGCTAGGGGATGCTAAAAGGTAGTGGCACAAGTTAAGGAGCCAGAATGTGCTCTCGGTTAGCCGATTTGGGTGGTGTCACGAGTACCAACGTGTCGAGCTCTCAATTTATTGGCGCATCTATATCGCTTCATACCCATACATACCCATGCCCTAGGATGCCAAAGCCAGAAGTTCCAAAATCCTCGGATTAGGAACGCCACATGGTAATGCTTGAATCCTAGCCCAATGAGGTTGCGATAGGGATGCGTCAGCCTCCGCGATTCTGCAGCACATGCGTTGAACGTTGCTTGCCGATTCTCTATTTGAACCCAGCATTGCCCATCCATTCTGAAATGAGGGCCTTGCGATAAGTCAGTTTAATTCCTGATACATTTGAAACTTTGACATGGAGTCAGCATTCAGAGTCCCAACTTCCTTGCCTGACGGGAATCGTGAATACGCCCGCCGATACACCTCTGACGAATGGGAGGCCATGAAGCCAAAGATCCAGCAACTGTACGTCCAAGACGAGAAGACACTCCAACAAGTCATTCATATCTTAGAGCGCGAGTATGGATTTACGGCCTCGTACGTTGTTCTTCCTTTTCCCTGTTTGAACCCAGTGGACCAGGCTGAGACTCAGGTAGGGAGAAGCAGCTTAAGAGCCGGATAAGCAAATGGAGATTCGACGTCAAGAATGTCAAGGGAGATACCATGGTCCAGATGGCACGCGCCAGACTGAGGCGGAAGAGGGTGGATGGGAAAGACAGCGTCTTCCGTGTCAACAAGAAAGCAGTGGCCGATCGAAACATCAACCGATATCTTAAGAGAAACAACGTCTCCGAAGAAGATCTGTTATCTATGACGAGCCCAATCGATGGTACGCGCGCTCTTTTATTCTGATGTTGAAGAGACTGATGGGTTGAAACAGCACCTTCTCCTGCTTTTAGTGTCTTCTCGCCACGTCCCGACTCCCCATCTGATACCAGTGTTCACGCAGCTCTTTCTGTGAGCAATGCTACTTCTTCGACCGAAGAGTTCGTTATACTGGACCTCAACGCAGATTCGGGTGCTTTAGAGGCAAATACGATGTCAAATCACCTTGCCTATTCGAGACACAACCAGTTGCCTGCCTCTAGCCAGCAAAGCCTCCGAGCACTTACCATGTCCCACCCCCAAAGTCTGGACGTCAGTAGATATGCCTATTTCACGACTCTTCCCGGAAGCATTCAAGACCTACCAGATAGCCCTGAAGTGCTTCTTTGGCGCTTTCGAGAACAAATTTGTCCCATGCTCTCTGTCACCAATGGCCAAAATAACAATATGTGGCAGACTTTGGTACTGCCACGGGTGCACAACTCCCAAAGTCTCTGCCTTGCGATATCTGCTATGACGGCTCTCCACATATCCACCGGCAGGTCTGATATCCAACTTCATGCTCGTGGAATGAACTTGATGCTCCAGAGCCTTCGCGCATTGCGCAGTGAGCTCGGCGGCCAAACACGCAAGATAGCCACCCTGGCGACTGTCCTCATTCTGGCATCCTGGACAAGTTGGAACGAAGGATTGCACCTGGGAAGGAAGCACGTCAAGGGGGCTTTGGTAGTGCTTTGGGAACTGTGGTCGCAGTCTGTAAAAATAACGTCCGGTTCTGCCCCTATTGACCCCATCTCCTTGGCATTTCTGGCGACAACTGGGTTCTATATGGATGCACGGTCAAGTGTTGTGCACGCGGCGATGGCAAAGGACGACTATAAAATGATTCGCAAAATCATCCCGGAAATGCCGACGCCGGTGGAAACATACCTGGGGAAATTCGAGGGGAATCTATCCTCGATCCCTCTGGATCCGTGGATGTTTTGTGCTGGCAGAGTTTTCCGTTTCATGAAACGGGCAGCTGACCTTTGCTACGAGGTCAGGATGGCAAGTAGTGCGTCTTCTACCAATATCACCGAAGCGGTAGCCTTGGCACGCGAAATCGAGGCATGGACACCCAACGCACTTGTCTATTTTCCATCTTCGAGTAGATTACACGTTTCTGGCTTGGACGAGCGGTACATGATACATACTGCGAAGGCGTACCGATATGTCACTCTTCTATACCTCCGCCAAGCTGTGCCGGAGATGCCTAATATCAGTATTCAGCAGCTAGCCCGAGACACAATTCGCCACCTCTCGTCCTGTCCACCGAGCTCTACCATTGCCTTGGCTCAAGTATATCCACTGTTTGTGGCAGGCTGCGAGGCAAGTAGCAACGAAGAGCGGCAGTGGGTCAAAGAACGTTGGGCTGCCATGATAGCACGTATGAGAGTCACCAATGTGTATAAGTGCTGGGAAATTACTCAAGAAGTTTGGAAGAGACGAGACGCTTATCAACAGCGGAGAAGCGGAAATAGCGCCAACCATCTTCAGCAACCAATGTTTCAATGTCTGGGAGATACTGAAAACATAGAGGGCCGATTACATTGGGCACAGATTATGAAGGACTGGGACTGGGAAGTGTCATTCTAGTTTGGAGTAAACAAGCGGTATATGTTTCTAACGTCATGCCGAGTTGAACTGCACCCAGTGTGAGTAAAAAATACTCAAGCTACTCAAGCTACTCAAGAGTAGTCTTAAGTAAAGTAAAGTAGAATTTGAGTAGCATAATATAATACTTGAGTAAAGTAGAGTAAAGTACTACTTAAGAGTAACTCAAGAGTAATTATATATAAGTTATATAAATATAGAAAATTAATATTTATTTAATTATTAAGTAATATTAATAAATATTTCAAATAATTTTTTACTAGTATATGAATTATATATTAATTCTCGCACGGGCTATAAATGCAGCCACTAGTATAATTTTAAGACCCGAATAATATATAACTTTATTTTTTTTTATAATAGCCCTTTATTAAAAAAGCTAGTAAGGGAAATTAATAGAAAAATAATAAAGGCTTTAAACCCTATTTTTCTCTAAAGTCAAATGCCTGAAAAGCGGATATATAAGTAAGGCGGTTTTGAAAAACACATATTAGTAAGAAGCTCCCTTACTAAAATCATATAGTTAATAACTCAATATTAAATAACGGGCAAATAGCTATAAGTTAGGTACCAAAATAATTATATATTACCAGGTTTTTAAAAGATTATAGCTATATATTATATATTAGTTATATAGTAGATTAATTACGATTTTATAATAAGAATATATATATTAAGAGCTAAAAAAGTATAATATATATAATATTAGTAATAACTTAATAAATAATAAGCAAATAGCTATAAGTTAGGTACTAAAATAATTATATATTACTAGGTTTTTAAAAGATTATAGCTATATATTATATATTAGTTATATAGTAGATTAATTACGATTTTATAATAAGAGTATATATATTAAAAGCCAAAAAAGCATAATATATATAATATTAGTAATAACTTAATAAATAATAAGCAAATAACTATAAGTTAGGTACTAAAATAATTATATATTACTAGGTTTTTAAAAAATTATAGCTATATATTATATATTAGTTATATAATAGATTAATTACAATTTTATAATAAGAATACATATATTAAAAGTCAAAAAAGTATAATATATATAATATATATATCTTAATAAAATTAATATTATATTATTAATAACTTTCTTTATATTAGTTTAAGGCCCTAAAAGGCTATAAATTAAGTACTAAATTAATTATATATATTATAATAGAAAGTATATATTTTAGGATCTAATATATTATAATATATATAATAAATTTATTACTAAGAGTTTAGAACTTGCTTAGAAATTAAGACTAGAGGCATTTCCTAAGTCTAAACCCCTTTTATTCTTAGTATAATTAATAATAATTTTTTTAGATATTACTCCTAAATAAGCTAATTCTTTAATAGTTTTTTATTCCCGAATCCTAATATTATTTAGTGCTCTATTATATAGTAATGGAGTTTTTTTATATAGGCTAATATAAGCGAAGTGGTCTGTGCCACTGCCATCTCTATTACTATATAATAGAGAACTTTTAAATTTTTGCAGGAGTTAAAAAGTACCTGATTTCGGTACTATAAATATATTAGAATATAGCAAACCACTACTACTGCCACTGCTACTAGTATATATACTATATATTACATTAAATATTATATTTAGTAGGTGCTATACTCTAGCTATAGGTATAATTATATAGTACTAGCCGAGTCTATATTAAGAGATATATACCTAAAATATAAGAGTAAAATTATATAAATACATAAATAATTAATATATAATAGTACCACTGGCACTAATTCAATTACTGCTAGTACTTGTTTATATTACTAGTAGTAGCAGAAGAAGTATAGAAAAGTCTTTAAATTTCACTTTTGCTACTTCTAAAGCAAGGCTTGCCAGTGGCAATAACCAGGGTATCTCCTAATACTACTAATGCCTCCCAAAACCCGAAAACCCAATTTACAAGTACTCTTTAAACTGCCCAAATTACCTAAACTACTGCCCAAACCACTCCCCAGAAAAAAGGCTAATCCGAAAAAAAAACCTCTAAAGAAAACCCACTAATACTAGTACTAGTACTACTCGCTTATGGGCGCTAATATATAGGCAAGCGCAAGTCCCGGTCGACTACCAAGCGGAGTTATACTATATCCATATTCCGGTATAGGCCACGGAAATCAATATCTTGGAAGTTAGTAGTAGTGGTATTGGGTATAGTAATACTATTTCTAATAAGGTTACGGTTAGTAATATAATAAAAGATATGGCCGCAGTAATTGAAACCGGTAGTAATAGTATTAGGAGGGTTACTAGTGGTATTATGCCATATACTAATAATAATCCTGTTATTAGTAATAGGATTAGGAATAGGCATATAGCGTATTCTGTTACTATATTAAGTACTACTACTACTACCGTAATAACCACGAGAGCTACTGCCGCAAGTACTATAAAAGCCACTACTACCGCAAGTATTACGAGAGCTACTAGACAAGGCACTACTATATAGACGAGGTTCTCGAGATAGTATTAGTAGTGGATTATTCTCCTTCTTATTATTATTATTGCTATAACTCTCATTATTAGAATTAAAACTTATGGGTTTATTATTATTATTACTACTAGAACCAGAGCTCAATTTAATCAGTTCTTTATAAGTGCTACTGGCAGGGGAAAATCCAGATCCGGTAGTAGTAGAGATAGCAGGATAACGGGAAGGGGGGCCGGAGGAACTAGTAGAATGGTTGCCATATTAGTAGTACTAGTAGCGGAAGGGATAAGGACTACTAGTAATAGGTTCGCTATTAGTAGTATGGGATATGGAGCAAGTATAGTATCTATAGCCGGTAGAATAAGTAGTCTAGCTGGCAGAGGCAGAGGCAGGGCGAGAAGATCTAGTAGTAGCAGATAGGCCAGATCTGGGAGTAGTAGATATACCAGATCCGGAAATAGTAGAGGGGCCAGATCCGGGAGTAATAGAGGGAGTGGCAGGGGCTAGCTAGAAGACTTACGGATTATCAGGAGCATACTCCGGGAAGAAGACATTATAATACTAGTTTTGCCAAATACGAGTAGTAGAGCAAATATTAGTAATACTATCGAGGAAGTAGTTATAAGCTATATTAACTTGACCTATACTAGGAAAGGCAATAGTAGTAGTAGGGAAGCGGATAAGTATAGCTTTATATTAATACTTAATAGTATGCTTCTTTGCCTTTTTAATATTATTAGTAGTAATTATATTATTACTAGTAAGATTAAGGCCAAGGGTAGTAAGGCAGTTAAAATCTGGTAGTGGCAGAACAGGCTCAGGGGCAAAATCTATTAGTATAGGTAGTTAAATAAAGCCGCTAAGATTATTAGGGTTCAATATAATAAAGAAGTAGTAGTGGCTACTTAATTTAATATACTAGTAAGTAGTAATATTAGTAGCAAATGCTTAATTAAAAGTAAGTAGTAGTAGGAAGGAAATATAATAAGTAATCCGAATAAAATATACTAATATAAATACAAGTAGTAATAGAAAGGAAATATGAAATATAATAAATAATCTAACTAAAATATAATAATACAAATACAAGTAGTAATAGGATAGAGATATAATAACTTAAAGGCAAGTAGTAAAGTAATAATAGGAAGGAAATATAATAATCTAAAGGAAAGGTAATAATATAAAAGTGAGAGGTAGTATAAAGGAAATATAATAATCCAAAGGTAATATAATAATTTGAATACGAATAGTAGTAAGAAGGAAATAAGGAATAAAGGAAGTAACTTATATATATATAAGAAATACAAAAGCAGTAGTAATAGTAGAGATAAAAGGAGTTATAATTACAAAGATTAAAGAAATAGTAATAGCAAGAGTAAAAGGAAGAGTCAAGGTTATCTTATAGAAAGGAATATTAGTAGTAGAAGTAGGATATATAAGGAAGTAGCAGAGGCTTTAGTAAATATATAAGAAATCTAGGAAGTGAATTAAATTCAAAAAGTGAATTAGGCAAGAAAAGGTAAAGTAGTAATAGTAAGAGTAGCAAATATATTATTATTAGGTACTAACTAATTATAGTAGTAGTAAGAGTAGTAAATATGTTATTAGGTACTAACTAATTATAGTAGTAATAGTACTAGTATTATAAAATTGAATTAGTTTAAAATATACTAGAATTTAACTTATTTAAGTAAAATTAAAATACTAAACTAACTAATATAACTACTACTTCTATTACCTAAAGTACTAAAGCCGTAGCTTATATTAAATAATAAGTACTACGTACTTATTTATTATAGTACTAGCTATTAGTAAGTACTTAGTCCAGGAGCAGTAAGCTACTATTTATATAATAAGTACTAGGTAAAGAGAGAGCTTTAAAAGCAAGTTAAGGAATATATTAAATAATAGTAATAGCTATATAACTATTAAAGTATATTACTACTACTAGCTAGATCTGCTCTATAACTAGTTCTCCTAGTTATTAATAAATACTAGTATTAAGACTATAACTTTTTGACTTAAAATTAGAAGGCTATATATAAATATATAAATAAGAAGTATAATAAGAAATATATAAAGAATATAGAGATCTTTAATCTTATATAATTCCAAATATGAATAGAAAAGAAGAGGATATAATATTAGGTTATAGATAAGAATAAAGAAGTTAGGTATATATCCCCTAATCTCGTAATATATAGTAAGTAATAGAGATAAAAGTAGTAGTAATAGTAGTAGTAGTAGTAGTAATACAGGTAAAGACGAGGAAATTAAGAAAGAAGTTATAAAGTAGAATAAGGAAGTCAAAGAATAATAACTAGTTTTAAACCAAAAGCTAGTAGTAGTAGAACTTGACTTATGGTTATAATATACGAATTAGAATACTAGTCTCTTATAATCCAAATATAGTCTTATTACTACTACCGAATTTATAAAACTACCTGACTCAAAAGAGTAGTAGTTAGTTCAGGTATTAGAATTATAGAACCGGATTCTCGACTGCTATCTTAATATACTTTAGGCTATTAATTATAAGGATATTCTCAAGTAATAAGTATTACCAAAAAATGAAGCTATAAGCCAGAACCTATTTGAGAGGCCAAATAACCAGATACTAGTTAGATATAGCTAGTAGTAGTAGTTATTCTTATACTATATAATATAGATATTACTCGAGGATAGTTAGGAGAATAAGACCGAGACAGGGGTAAGGTATACTAAAAAGTAGTAGTAGTATATAGATAATCTATATGATTTACTCAAAGAGAGAGAAAAGCAAGGAATAGTAGTAATAGTAGTAGTAGTAGTAGTAGTGGCAGATAATACTAATCCAGAACTTAATATAGCTATTATAGGCTTAATTATAAGTATTATAATACAAGATATAAGTCGGGTCTCATTATATAAGTCGCTATTAATATATTTCTTAGCTATATATGGCATTAACCTATTAATAAAGGCATTTCGGCCAGTATTTGATTATATACTAATTCTTATATAAGTTCTTTAGATAATATAACTACTATTACTTGAAGTTATATTACTACTATAAGTATAGCCGGAGCTTGGATTATATAGCCATATAGAGGTCGAGTTAGTACGAGTACGAGTAGTAGAGATCTATTAGTAGTATTTATATAAAGGGTTATTCTCGCCAGTATTAAGTATTCTAACTTAACTTACTTATAGAAAGGCTATTAATAAGCTTTACTACTCTCCGTTAAATATCTTTTGGTCTAATAACTACTAGATTATATATTATTAGGGTATAGGAATAGTAATAGTAAAGATTCGAATTATATGGCAAGAGGTAACCCGGGAATTAGAAGAAATCTTATTTAAGCTACTCTTCTACTAGTACGTATTAGATGTGCTACTGCCACTAGTAATTAATTATATGGGTTTAGTATAAAACTCTTAATGGAATAATCTCAGCTTTATTAATTATCCCGAGAACTAGGAGATTTATAAGAGGAACTAGTAGTTCTTATACTAGCGAATACTTATAGACGCCCCCGAGTAGAAACTTATAGGCGACCATAGTAGTAGTAATAGCAATAGTAGTAGCCATAGTAGTTAACGAGAATAGATTAATATATGAAAGTTAGTATATCTTAATTATAAGCAGCAATTCTTATAGCTCTTAATAGTAGTAATATATATTACTAGTGGCTAGCCCGTACGAGGGCCAGAGCTCGGCTTAATTAAGGTTATTAATAGTATCTTCTTTATATAGAACATATATATAATTAATGGCCGGATAGTATTTCTGACCAAGTATAATAAGTTATAGAAGCGGTATAGTATAATAGAATACGTATTATATTATCTGTTACTATTACTAAGTCAGATTCTAGTATAGTATCTAATTTATATATACCTATTCTCGCAGGTTATTAGGCAAAAGAAATAGAATTACTTATTTATAGATAAGTATAGGCTATAGGCAGGTTATTAGTTAAGTATAGTATTAGTAGTAGTAATAGTAAAGTATCTTGAAATATACTTAACTATTTATATATGGCATTAGGTTACTATTACTATTACTAATAAGTATCTTGGCAAGGTAGTTAAGATATGGGATTAGAAAGAAGATATGAGAGAGGGCAATAAGTTTATAGAGAGTAAGGATAATATGGAAGTGGAATTAAATATACTTAATTATATTCTGGTCCGGTAGTCGGCCTATAGGCAAGGCATAATATAGAGGTACTATACTATTAATAGAGTATTTATAAATTTCCTGGGGCCAGACTTAGTTAATATATATATATAAGTATTAAGGGCATAGTATGTATTCTTTAAGGTCTAACTAGACTAGGAGGCAGTGGCAGTAGCAGGGCGAACCAAGTATAGCCGGGAAGCAAGTTAATAACTTTAGCTAGCTCGAGTAAAGTATAAGAGGAGTAGTTAGAGTTTGAGTAGTATGGCTACTACTACTACTACTACTAAGTAGTAAGTACTTAAAGGGCTCCGGCGGATATATGGCCCTACTATATAACTCTAGTCTAAAGAGCAAGTAGTAGTACTAGAACTAGTATATTAGCTAGCCCATAAGACATATATATTAATTATTATACTACTTATTAATAATAGCAAGACGGTTTTATTCTTCTCGCTTGCGGCTATAGCTATAAACCAAACCATAATTGTTATCGTGCCATTTATAGCTTTAGTAAATAATCTAGTCTCGTATATAAATAAGGTTAGTAATAGTAGTAGTAATAGTAGAAGTAGTAGCTTAATATATAAGAAATGAACTTATATAGAGTTTATTAAGACATTACTCTAGCTAATTATTATAAGTACTAACCGAGCTATATAAGGCGAGTTCTTATATTTTACTAAAGGGCTCGAGCTCTATAGATAGCTCTTATATATATTCTTTAATAAGTATTATATTATACTTATAGATATATTATACCGGCGGAAGTTACGGGATCTATAGTAATTATAATACCTCGATTACCTATTTATATATCTTATGGCTATACTACTTGTCTTGCTTAAGTATATCTTGCGAGAGTAGCTCTTAATTTAATATGCTTTACTCTTTAGACAAAGTATAATATAACAGATAATATAATATTATATAATAGATATTAGAGATATTTTACTAGTTAAATATATATATGATTTAATTCCGTTACTACTACTACTACTAGTAAAGCGGGGAGTAATTTACGTATAGAGCTATATAGCCGGGAAGGCGTTATAAGAGGCATTTGGATTCCCATTTTATAATACTAGGTCTAAAGAAAAGGTACAAGTACTGCGAGAATAGGTATAGAGTAGTAGTAATAGAGGGTGGATTCTAGCTACTAGTATACTTGGGACTAGAGTAAATATTACTAATATTATTTATATAGTATATATTAGTTGCCTATATAAGATTACGAGTTTTATATAGTAGTCTAAATATAAGAGAAGAAGTAGTAAAGTAAGCGATTCTATTATTATTATAAGTAGTAGTAGTAGTAATAGTATTAGTAGTAATTATAATATTATAAGTATATATTCTATTAAATATTAAGACGAGATAGCTCTTAAT